CATTTTCTGATCCCCCAATTCCACTTTCAAGAGCTGTCATGGGCAATCCTGCATATTTATTATGTGACAGATAGCAAATAGTTGTTGCTTCAAGATGTGACTCTAATTATACTCTGTCCTTAAATAAATAGTCTACATTGAGTTGTGAACTTATACTAAAAAAAAAAAACAATGCAAATCTCAAAACTCAATGTGAATTATTTCTTTGGGACAAAGGGAGCATATAGTTTAGGCAATGTAAATGGGGACAAAAAGGTTCAAGTAACACAGATGATAAGATGTGAATCCGTTTCCGATTCATGAACTACAAAATGCTTCTGATCAAATATCATCACAATTAGATTAGACCCCGTTCAATTCGGAATTTCGAGTAGCTGCTATTTTAAGATGTAAAATTTTCTCTACCAATATGTGTAAGAACAAACTAACACCAAGAAATCAGGCATTGAAAATGAAGATCAAACCTTTTTTTGGTTGCATCAAAATTTGCTTATCCATTATACTTAATTAAAGCAACATACAAGAAAGACATGTGTCAGCTCTATGTTAAAAATTTTCCCGCCAAGGGTCTTTTTTAATACAAAATGAAATTTGACATGTGGCACTCTAAATTTGCAGAAAAAAATGGGTTTGTTAAAAATTTTATACTGCATATAATAAATAAATAATTAAATCAACAAAATATTAATCAGAAACAAAAGATTGCTTAATTAAAGCTTGGTAAACCCATCCCTAATTTAGGATAACTACTCCCCAATTTTAGCTCCCAAATTTTGATCTTCTTCCATAACAGAATCAAATTATTCAAATCTAATTCTGATAAAGATCGATTTTTTCTTGAATTTTTTTAGATATTTTGTTGATTCAAAAAACCTCTTTCATGCTACTTCATAATTCTCAATCTCTCTCTGCTCCATTCGCTTCCTGTCAGGCTCGAGTGGGAAAGGGCAAAAGTATTGTGCAGGAACGTCAAACATTACAGCAGCAATCATCCATGTTATTATCCGCACTTAAACGGGTATAAGTTCAATTTTTTCCGATGCTTATCAATCACTATTATATTTACACAATCAGATTTGATTTTTACAAAGCCGCCATTCTCCGCCGAATCGGAAGCTCCACCGTTGTACAATCTCTAGTTCGGCTGCAGTGACCGATTTCTTAATGAATCCGGATGAGGATCAACAACCCCATCCATTACAATGCCGATTGCTTATCTGTTCTCTGGCGATTCACTATTACTTCTGTCGTTTTTTTTATTTTTTATTTTGTTATGTATTCTGCAGGGTAAGGAGCTATTCCTTTGTCCTCCACGAACATAGATCGACAGTAAAATCTCGGTTGAGGTATAATATGCTAATCTCCATCGTAATTCCTAGAAACTTGAAGGTGCTTATGTATTAAGATTTTTAATTTGGTTATTGACATTCAAAATTTGATTCTTTTGTGTGTAGTAGTAATTTGATTTTGTTTTAAAAAGTGGTCTTTTTAAGCTTTTGATTTGCTTTTAACTGTATGAATTGGGGGGGCACTTCACTTAGAAACAATGTACTGATTTGTTTTAAAAACTGATGCTTGAAAACTGGTCAAATAAAAAATCAATAGGAAGGCATTATCGTATTGGAGTATAATTCTCAAAAACTGACATTCATTTGAGGTATAATTCTGATTTTTTCCAACTTTTTGTTTGATGTAAAGGATATTTATGCCTGAGTTTGGGATGTGTAGTGCAACTCTATTGTTAAGGTGTAAAGAAATTTAGGTTTTAATGGATATAATGATCTATGTAGATGCCCACATTGTTCTGTTTGTTTTTCTTTCCTTGGCACTATGTAAACTTTTATCTAATATGAAATATAGAGATATTGGTCCTGTAAGTTTCTGTTTTTTTTTTTTGCAATTTTTGTTTCTATCCTATTTTTACGGCTACCATTCTTATAGATAATATAAATGCATGTCAAACATTGAATGCATGTCAATCAACACCATGTGAAAATAAAATCATTTTATTTTTTGTACTGGTATCAATATCAAACATTGAATTACGGGTAATGATTAGGAATTACATCATGGTTTTGTGAAGGAAGAAACTTCATTCTGCTTATCAATACGTAAGTCCTTTTTCTCCTCCTATTTTTGTTCAGTTTGGTCCTATAAATTGATTGGTCTCTTCTTGCATAGTTTTCCATCTCTGGTTGTGCTTTCATGGTTTTATCAGTAACCTGATCAAAATGCTCGATTATGATTGTGTTTTATGTTCTAGGATGCTCAAATTATGTGGAAGTTTGATGTGTTGGGAATTTTTAAGGTGGTGAGTTTTAAGAATATTATAACAATGGAGGTTCAGAGTCAGCAGATGAAATTTAATGCGAGTCAGGGAATAGGGGTGAGTTTTAAGAATATTATAACAACTAGATGCTTGTCTCGGACGAATGTCTGGGGTGTCGCCTGTATTTTTAAATTGATTAAATAAAAAATACAAATCATTCTTAAAAGAAAAAAAATTAAAAGAATAAAAAATCGATTGAAAGGACAGAAAGTGAGTTATTACACATAAATCTATGCCCAGATTTACAACATTTAATTTATAAAAGTTAACCTATGCTGGGGTTTAAATAAATCATAAACCAATATCTACAACAGAAGAATAAAAAAAAATCATCCTTAAAAAATCAAATTTCTTTCATGACCATCTTATTTTTCTCTGTTATAGAAAGAGATGGATTGATAATTAATGTCAAATTTTAGTTATTGATTTAAAATCCTGGATATGAGAGAGGAGCGGAATGGAAGAGATTCTTTGAAATTGGGGATTGAGAAGTTCACTTGATTTAAGAGTATTTCCTTACATTTGATTTTATCAACTAAATGTTGTTTTAAAGGATTAGTATATACCTATAATTAAGATATTTTTATGTAGCTATAATTAAGGGATTTATGTATTTATCTATTCTATCTTTTTTTTTCTGATTAGTTAGAATGCCACGTGTCAAAAATGATTTTGTACTGAAAATGACTTTTGGAGGGAAAATTTTCATTGTGGTGCTGACACATGTCCTTTTTGTTTGCTGCTTTAATTAAGTACTATAGATATGGACTAAGAGGCATATCATTGACACTTGAAAAATATGGATTTCATTGTTTTTGCTTCAAATTGTCCGTGCTATAATTCTTTCTTGAATTTTCTTTGTTCCTAAATGATTGATAAATGATGCATTCAGTTCAAGGACCTTCAATTCAAGTGCTTCAGTAAATGACAATGGATTTGATGATGTCCCATTGAAGAATCTTGTGTATGATAAAATCACGAGAAAGATCAGTCTAAGGGAGACAAAATCAGGAAATGCCACGTGACTTATCCATTGATCGGGTAAATTTGAGCCATTCCCTTTTGAACTATCGCAACATTTCAGTACTTTTCAATTCAGATAAATATAGAAAGAATGAGATGATGTTTTTCCAAGGAACTCGTGATCATTTAATCCTTTTGTATCCCTATCGCGCAATGGAATCCATGATATGGATGCCAATGCAGAAGAACATGATCAGCCAACAAGGAAAGATGCAGAAGCAAATGATGGAACCCTTATCTAACAATGATGATAAAGCAAATGAATAAGACTCATCATCTTACAAACAGGAGAATGTTCAATCAAATTCAACCTTTGACAGTGATCCAAATGATGATGATGATGATACCAAAAGCCAAAGGAGGAATGCAAAGGGTCCTCTGTCCAAAATCTTATGGCTGAGAGGAAAAGAAAGAAGAAGCTCAATGACAGACTCTATGCTCTCTGAGCCTTAATCCCCAAAATTTCAAAGGTAAATGCAGTATTTAAGTAAATATAATAATGGAATACTCCGTTTCAAAAAAAAAAATCATGGAATACTCATGAAACTGAACAAATGATCACAATTTGAATGCACCGAGTATGAATTTCATCTTTTTGAAAATAATGGAACAACATTAGATGATTAAAAATCATTATACATTGTAATACTACCGCATAGCTTATGTATTGATGAACTATATGTACGAACTAATTTTTTTTTACGCATCTGGACAAAGCTTCCATTCTTGGGGACGCAACTGAGATCGTAAAGGAGTTGAAGAAGCAAATGAAAGATATTGAGAATGAGTTTGAAGACAATTCAGATTGTGTGGATCCAAAATTTTGTTATAGTCAACATTACTGCTATTAATATTTGTTGAGACCCTGAATGAGTATTATTGTTGAGGCCTTTATATTATTATTATTATTATTATTATTATTATTATTATTTACATCATAATAAAATGTATCATATAATTGATTTTTTATCATATGATTTATATTATTTTATTTATCGACTTAAAACGACACCCCGGACATTCGCCCGGGGCAAGCATCTAGTTAATTATATGTACTTTACATTTAATCATCCAAGTTCAAGGGCTTTCGAGTCTCGTCTACCCTTATTTCTTGATGTTCTTCCTGAAAAAGGCAAAAGAAAAAAAAGAATTACAGTTTACATTTGTAATCCAGGCTATCATCACAGTCGATTTGTTTGTTTAAAATTTTTTTCTTTTAAGTGCATAAAACTTGATCTCCACGAGAAAAAAAAGAAAAAAAAAACTTGATCTCCACGAATACGTAGCCTCCACGATAATTTGTTATTCCATCTTTTCTGCTCCAATTAAAACCGACTTCGATCCTGGATTATAAATACAGGGCTCCAACCTGTTCTTTTCTTCCTAACCTTTCTCTTCAATCTCCATTATTATCTTTGTTGGCGTTTTAAAAAATCCCTTCTCAGTTCTCCCTTTAAATCCAAAATGGCTCTGAAAACCACTCTCCTTGGCCCACCGGAAATCCAAGGCGCCGCCTTCCCCACCCCGACTCCCCTTTCCAAATCTTACGCCGCTGCCCTCGTGAGTGAGCCGGCGGCGTCGCCGGCCGAGCCCGATTACATTTAATGCCTTGGGCCGCATGAACCTCAACTACCGCCCTTCCTCATATATGGGTTACACTGAAAACGGTTCCGCAACTTTCCTCACCAGTGGTAACCCCTGCTTGGACTTTTTCTTCCACGTCGTCCCCGACACTCCTGAAAAAACCCTGATTCAGCGCCTCCAACTCGCTTGGAATTCCAATCCCTTGATGACCCTGAAGCTTATTTGCAATCTCCGTGGCGTCAGGGGTACCGGAAAATCTGATAAAGAGGGATATTATACTGCCGCCCTCTGGCTTCATAAACATCACCCGAAAACCCTGGCTCGCAATGTGGCTGCCATGGCTAATTTCGGCTACTTTAAAGACTTCCCTGAGATTCTCCACCGACTCTTGGAAGGAGCCGATGTGCGAAAGAAGGAAAAAGAAGCGCACAACAGAAGGAACAAGCGCACCGGGAGCACCAGGAGGCTGACTCGGACGGTGATCAAAAGGGGAAAATCGCTGATCAGTCGGAGAACTTAATAGAAGATGTTGAAGAATAAGAGAGATTCCACAACCAGGGAGGAGAGGATACAGGCAAACTTGAAAATTCAGGCAGTTGAGAAAAAGAATGCCAGCATACAAAGGCATGCTAAGAAGGCTCAAAAGGCCAAGAAGGCCATTCGGAGATACGAGCGTGACCTGGAGTTCAAGTTGTTGCATGAACGGGTCTCTGATTTCTTTGCAGAGTCTTTAAAAGCAGACTTGAAATTCCTCAGTTCCGGAGAGTTGAAAAAAATTGGCCTAGCTGCAAAGTGGTGTCCCTCGCTGGATTCTATGTTTGATAAATCAACCCTTTTATGTGAAAGCATTGCTAGAAAGGTTTTCCCAAAGGAGGCGTATCCTGAGTACCAGGTAATTGAGGATGTACATTATGCCTATCGAGTGAGGGATCGGTTGAGGAAGGAAGTTTTGGTCCCATTAAGGAAGGCTTTGGAGCTGCCAGAGGTGTTCATCGGCGCCAATGATTGGGGTTCCATTCCTTACAACAGGGTGGCCTCAGTGGCTATGAAACAGTACAAGGAGTATTTTATGGAGAAGGATAAGGAAAGATTCGAGGAGTATTTGAGTAATGTGAAGAAAGGGAAGGCCACAATTGCTGCAGGTGCTTTGTTGCCACACGAGATTATTGCTGCACTAAATGATGATGATGACGGTCTAGTTGCCGAGCTTCAATGGCAGAGAATGGTGGATGACTTGGCCAAGAATGGTAAATTGAAAAACTGTCTTGCAGTCTCTGATGTTTCGGGCAGCATGAGTGGAATACCAATGGAGGTGTCTGTTGCTCTCGGTGTTTTAGTCTCGGAATTGAGCGAGGAGCCATGGAAAGGACATGTGATCACCTTCAGCGAGAATCCGTCGCTTCAGAGAGTCCAAGGAGATAGTTTGAAAGACAAGACGGAGTTTGTGAGGGACATGGATTGGGGGGGAAACACAGATTTTCAGAAGGTGTTTGATCAGATTCTGAAAGTCGCTGTGGAGGGAAAACTGAAGGAGGAACAAATGATTAGAAGGTTGTTTGTTTTCAGTGACATGGAGTTTGATCAGGCTTCTCTGAAGCCTTGGGAAACTGATTACAGGACCATAGTCAGGAAATATAGAGAAAAGGGGTATGGGAACTGTGTCCCGGAAATAGTGTTTTGGAATCTCAGAAATTCAAAGGCCACACCAGCTTCAGGAGATGAGAAAGGGGTAGCATTAGTGAGTGGATTTTCAAAGAATTTGCTCACACTGTTCTTGGAAGATAATGGAGAGCTGAGCCCAGTTTCAGTGATGGTGGCTGCAACTTCAAAGAAAGAGTATGAGAAGCTAGTTGTTGTTGATTGATCTAACTTTTAGTTTGTAGTTGTAGTTGACTGACTTTGTGTACATGATGACTAATTCTGAAAAGAGTATTCAGCTTTTTTTGGCTGGATTCCAACCTTGATGAATGGTGAATGCAGAAAATAGATCAGAAAAGTTACTTCCTAAGTTGTCTTATTTCTACGATTACAAAATACAATTCACTCATCAAAATACAATACTTCCTATGTTGTCTTATCTTTATGGCCTGATAAGTGATTTGAGAAACTTGAGACCTATGCTTTTTCAGCTGCGCTGATGTCTAGTCATGCACTTATTTGATGGACACTGTTATTTCTGCACATTTACACTTACCGTCTAAGTATGCTAGCTGCATCCAAACTTCCTTCCATCACCATCACGTTCTCTTAGGAGGACAGGTGACCAGGATATATCACTTTCTCAAAACAAAAGGAATTATACTCAAGAGTTGAAAACTAGTAACGATACTTGGCTAGAGCTTTACAGAACAAAAAGAAAAGTTTCTCTAAATCCTCAGGAACTATATCACACGACACTGAGAACATCAACTCTTTCAGCACAGATGCATGCTCCAACAAAAACTTTGCCTAGGATATCTCCTGAACCGAAGAAGATTAATAATTTCAGAAGAGGTAGTACATTAATCAACAATTTCCGCACGAAAAAATGAGGTTCGAGCAGGAATCTTTGCTATTGTTAACCCGAGTACAAACAAAACCATATCCAGTCTTCAACATCAACTAAAACTGCCAAGCTAGCCTTCGTGCGGAGAGGAAAGAAGACCCTTCTTTTCCAATGCTTCCGTTTTCTACTTTAGAAACTACATATTTCTACATAAGAATTTAATATCTTCAACATCTAGTAAGGACTCAAGGCCTTCTCCATTTATCCATCTCTCTGGCGGTAGCGTCGACAAGCTTCTTTGTGTTCACTACAAGCTCATCAATCAGACCACCAATCAGACCATCAATCAGACAATAAATCATAAAAGACGTTCTTTGGTCAGGCCCCTCCTCGAACTGCTGCTGAAGCAGTCCGTCAGATACTACATGCAAGAAATCATTGTAACAGTTTTAATCTATAATGTAGGTCTCCCTGGTGATAGCTTATGAACAAAAAGAAAAAGAAGAAAAGACTGAAATACTTTGGGTTTATTTCTCTTTAAGATTATGCTGTCTTCGTGTGTCATCAGGGATTCAGTTCAAAGATCAATTCCGGCACCCTTCAGTATTATCACTGCAGGTCCGTAAGCAACTTTTTGTTGGATGACAGGAAATTATCAAAGACAGATCATTAGCACTGCTGAATCTAGCGAAGACAGATCACATGTAATTGACACTCATCAGTGCTAAAATTTCTTCTTTGTTGGTGCTAATACTCTGTGTATTTAAAAAATGATTTTGCTCAGGTGTCAAATCATGACTTCAGTACGATATCGTAGAGGTAGTATATCTATGTAATGTAATAATCTGGTATCAGGCTTAGTATCTTTTCATTGTACTAAAAAAAAGAAAGAAATGCATTTCAAGATTATTGTTTTCAAAACAAAAATAATTAAACTGATAATGTTATATGCAGTCTTGAATGTAAATCCGTTCTTATGATTGATTACAAAATTGATTATAAAGTTTGCACTTCGCGAGCCTGTTTAGGTACGGTAGAAGGTGAATATTTTGCACGTCTCACCTTCTCAATAGATAAAACTTGGAAACCATCCCACCGGGTTATAAACTTGTACCTTGTTTTTTGCTGCTTTCTCAAGAATTCAGTTCAACTTTGTTATGCAAATAAATTACAGTCTGGCTTTAGATTCCTACGCATATATTTGTGGGCTCTATAACATTATGGTTTTAAGTAAACCTGGCTTGCCCAGAACAGCCTTTACGTGCTAGAATTAATTGAAAGAAATCTTTCTTTATGGGCCCATCTGCTTTCGTAGACTTGCATAAGCTAGTTTCTGCTGGCATCGTATGCTTCCCAGGCTAGTTTGTTGGTTCAGTATCTGGTTGGACAGCGTTTATGTAGATGCCGGTGGCACAAATGGTAATGTTCTGCTTATATGAAGAGAGAAAAACTGATGGAAACCACAAGCAAATAATATTGAATAACTAGAAAGCCTGTAATATTCTGAACACATTTCTTGTTATTTTAGTGCACAAACCTGCTGAATCCTGATAATATCAAAGGCCTATCTGCAATCTTAATGTTGCTTTCGATGATAGGCAATGAAGACTGATGACCGTTAATTTTGGTGTCTTTATTGCTAAAATTTACATCTAATCCTCCCAAGCCAAAACACTAAACTGATGGATGTTTTATCCTTAAAAAGGACATTGATAGATAGACATTGGAGCAAAAGAAAACAAAAAAATATCCAAATAAATTATAGAAATCCTTTCAAACAAACAATTACTCGCAATAATATCTACAGACAATTCTTCTTATTTTGAGGCTCAGTTTTGTTTTTCGTATGAATCAGACAGAAACCTCCGACGACGCCATGGCTGCAAATCACAGCTGCTTTGCATTATGGGAAACAAAAACCTAGTGGTTCTTGTCTCCTTCTCATAATGCAATCTGGATTCACCCCGCCAAGATACGGGTCGGATTGTCTCAAATGCCCGATTTACCAATTTACTCAGAAAGAATTCCAAACGAAAACATATAATCATCACAGCCTCTTTTCCGGAATTCATAATTTACCACCACCGCCGCCGCCGCCGCCACCACAGTTAAATTGATGCAAATCGAATCAACTCAAACAGACGAGAGAGAGAGACAACAAACAAACAAACAAACAAACAAACAAGCAAGAAAATCAAACTCAGTAAACTAAGCTCCGATGAGTTCCAAGCTATATCGGGCGGTTAAATTATTTTTATGCCCCAGTCGAAAAACGAAAAACAGAAATGGAAATCATTGGCGAACAGGGGAGGGGCAACCACCCTCAGAAGAAAAATCCCAAACTCCACTGCTGCCTCATTCTTACTTCTTTCTTAGCCTTTTCAAAAATCCCACTCCAAATTCTTTGTTTTTGGGGCTCAGATTCGCCTTTTATCAGACAAATTGGAAAAGGGCTAAAATCACCATGATTGCAAGCAACAGGCGGCGCCTCCATAGAGACGCCTTTCGCTGAGCTGCCCTACCAAGATGTGAAATTAGCTCTTTTGAATGTCTGTTTTTCTTTCGAAAACAAAGATGAATGTTTCGTCACAGCCTCGTCTTAATAGACACAGATAGAGAGAGAGAAAGAAAGAGCAGACATGGTTCCTTATGAAACCATCTAAAAGGTAAAAGGACCAAAAAGGCAGTTTACCCGAGGGTGGTTTTATGATTTTTTTGAGATCATCGGCGCAGCAACGCAGAAAGAGGTGGCAAAACCACCGTCGAAGAAACTCCCTTTGCCCTCCGTCTGCGGCGGCGCGGCGCCTCATTCTTAAACTAATGAGATTATAGAATTTGGTGGGAAATTGAGTCTAGGGCTATATAAACGAACCGAGCCAGGAATTCTCTGTTTTACGGGAATATGATGCGGATTTATAGGCATTGTTCTTTGGGCTATAAGACCCAACCCAATTCACAGGAGTGATTGACTTGGATAAATGGATCATTTCTGTCTTCTTAAAAGCCCAAATTTCATCTCATTTACAATATGGCTTGAAAACATTGATTATAATTTGTTCTAACTAATCAAGTTTCCTCTAGTAGTGAATACAGAGTAATGTAAAAAATAAAAAAATAATTAAAAAAAAAAAGAATACAGAGTAATTAATGTTTCTAGGGTCCCGAAAAGTTCTCAATAAGACCTATTCCTATCTCAATGGAAGAACTCAGAAGATCAGCAAGCTCCCTAATCAGAGAAATTACTAGGTCAAATTTAATTTTTGCACCACAAAGAACACCTAACCAAGCCGAAACTCGACCATGGAGTCCATCGCCATAGGAATGGGTTAAAATTAACACAGATGGAGCTGCGAGCATCAAGAAGAAAAAAGCAGCAGCAAGAGGACTAATCCGTAACCATGAAGGCCTTTGGATTACGGGTTTTGCTGCCAACCTGGGAAACTATAATTGCCTGGAAGTCGAATACTGGAGAGCACTATTTGGCCTCCAGATCGCCTGGAATCTCGGCTTCAGAAAAGTAATTCTGGAAATGGGCTCGATAGAAGAGATAAATTCTCTCAAGTATAGCGAAAAGTCCATACCATCAAGCAATGTTTTTAGGCATATTTTAGCATTATTAGAAAAGAACTGGAGGGTGAATCTTAGCCTCATTCGTAGAACATCCAATGAGGCTGCAGATTCACTAGCCAAGTTTGGCTTCTCATGCCTAACGGGGTTACAGGTTTTGACAATACCCTCATCTAGTATTGCCGAACAACTAGAAGTAGATAGGAATCTATCATCCCCATCCTAAGGGATGTTTTTACTCAAGCTTTTGCTTCCTACATCTATATATAAAAAATAAAAAAATAAAAAAAAAAAACTAAGCATTTATCCTACTATATATCGGACTGGATTCTTCACAGACATCACAGTACACGCAGCATTATAAGTCCAGAGAAACCTCCAAAAAGACCCCTTCCCACATAGTAATAGTAATGATTGCTTACGAAGGTGACTTTTCAAAGTTTCTTTTCCAAGCTTGACTTCAAGAAGATGGCAAACGTTGAAGCTACTGAAAGGGTGAAAGGTAAGCACACAAAAAATCTCCTGACATTCAGAACTGGAATATCTCCAGTTCTCGCAATTCATTTAGTTTACCATACCTTGAGCATTTACAAGAATTTAAACAAGACTCAATGATGAACATGTCAATTATATTGATATTGTTAGATGGAACTCGAGTGTAGGAATACATATAGTCTTTCATCTAGGGGAAATGCACATCAGATCAATAATTCTTATGATCAAAAAATTAATGTCAATCCATTTAGGCTAGAGTTCAAAGATATTTCAGTAACAGGACCTAACACCCAACAGAGAACAGATTATCAACTTATTTTGAGCTTGTCATAGCGGTCGCATATGCATATGATCAAGTTTTAATAAACACATAACTTGGTACATCTGCTCTATTAAGTATTAACCATTTCAGTTGAAATTCCAAGGATATCAGAACTTCCCCCTTGCATTTGAGATTAGTTAGAGCCTGAAAAGTGCTATTTTTACCTCCTGCAAGAAATCTTGGGATGCTATTTTCAGTCAATCTTTCTGCCAACACATGTTGGTTCAAGGCAAAAGAAAATACAGGTTACAGTTTCGCTAGCTCTTTATTTTCAGAAATCTTCTTCTGCAGATAAAAGCTGGGTCCTTTCTTCCTCATTTACCTTAGTTTTTCATATCCTGAAGTTAGAGCTTGTTGATTAGTCATATAATTCATGTCTTACACTTGTCTTGTTGCTTTGACTGGCTTTGTTTTCCCTACTGTTTGAATGCCTGTTGTTTTTAAACCAGACTCCTACGGTGTCCACTGTCCGCCCTCACGCCCATGGTTACCAAAACTTGGAACCTTGTAAGTAGAAGTGTAAATACCTCGCCAATGTATCTTTGGGAACACTTCCTGCCATGCATCAGCTGATGTGTGAAATGCATATCATGGAAGGTGGCATAGTGATATGTTATCTTTTAAGTTTATTTTAAGTATAGGTCAAGAATAACCACATCAAAACACATGATGACTCATACCAGAAACAGGAGTGTTATCTTTTATTTTTCTGGTCATCAGTACATCAGAAGTTTCAAAATTGAATGTAACTAGACGGTTAACAAATGTAACTGATGACTGGTGATAGTCGGTTAACAACAAAAGACAGCTGATGAAACTTGAAAAACAAAATCAACACATATATAAACTAGTACTTTATAACTTCTAAGATACCAAGAACTTGATCCTAAACCCGGAAAGTACTCAATGAATCTGCACTAAGAAAAATGCCTTTATCGAACCCTGGGTTTCAAAACATGCCATTTACTCAAGTAAAGAAAAGCATACTTCAGTTTCAGAATGAGGCTCATTCAAACTCATGGAGGAAATATTGCATTCAAAACTGAACAACAATGGCAAAGTGCATGGAATAGCTAAGGTGAGGCTAATCAGGCCACCATGCAGTGAATTTACGTTGACTTTTGTATTCAAACAATAAAAAAGCCATCATCAAGGCAACAGCAATGCAAAACATCAGTGAACAGAAAGCAAATTCCGCAGCTTTAAAAGAGTAAACATGAAATACAAGGCTTTTAGTTAGCTTTCAGTTCTTCGAAAGAGCCCCAAAAAGTCCCCTCTGACTTTAACAATGCATAAATATAAGCAACTTAAGAACATAATAACAGTACCATTTATTCCGGTCTTCCAAAATCAAGTCTGTACTTGCCGATTACATATGGCAAGTACATATGGCGTTTTTCTCTTTTTTCTTGTGTCTGTGTGTTTTAGTTCAGGAACCCATTATTTTGATGGTCATTGAACAGCAAAGGATCTAGCGTTGGATATCAAAAGAACAAGACAAAAACAATTTAGGATGAATTTTGAACCGGCATAAAAATGTTTTCAATCCATTTCTCCAGTCAAAACCAGCACAAAGAAATCCCAGAAACGGATCACCATCTAAGAAGGCACACATAGTTCTCAAATTATTAAGCTCCAAATATCTCTCCAACACATGAAACAGTCTTATGGAGCACATAATCACTTGAACATAAACCAAACATGGAGGATATTTGAAATCACCCCCCCTTCAACAAAAAGAGGAAGCTAAATGCCAGAAAGATCAGATTGCTTCACCATTCCAGGGGAGCAAGCTTTCAAACTTCCTTCACCTTGACAAAGGTTCTATCGACTATCATTGGAAACATGCTCCTTCCCATTTCAGGCGACTTCCCAAGAGAATAAATAGGATGCGCTTCTACTTCATTTCATGATGATTTCCCAATTCCTGAGATTCTTATCTCAAAGAATACATATCGATCTGTTGCTTATTCAATTTACTTAAAGTTTTCATTATAAAGATCAATTTCATAGTAAGTTATCATACATCAAACTCCAATAAAAATGATCAAAGCCCTGAATGCATTTTGGGCTGGGTCAATTCGCAAACGCTATTTTACCCAACTCTCTCAAAACCATGCTAACACGTAGGATATGTTCAGTTTTTGAAATGCAATTTCAAATGTTCAGAGAGGTATCTGCTGGCAGCTGGATGCGGTAGCAGTCAAAATATCCTGAACCATGAATGATACGTTGTGTTTTTTCTTTCCGAGACAGATTAATGATTTATTGTGAAATTAATGAATGACATTAATGATCACATTATGAAATTCCAGAAAGCATGAAATGTTTTCATCTTCAATAAACAATTGAGATTCGAATTCCCCAAACTAGCACAAGGACATTCACTAATTTACTTGTCGTGTTCGACATCAACATCAGAAACATACTCAAACGAATCAAAAGCACTTAAGAAACACCATTACATATTAATGATAGCAAAAGGCTATTATCGTTCAATCAGATTCCATATTATACAATTTCACTATCCATATTCATGGGTGTAGCTGCAAAATTAAACAGCTTCATCTCAATGCTAAGCCAGATATAATCAAAGCCAAACAAAAACAACAGAGGAAAGCCAACTCTTGATTTATGCCTAGCAGACCGAATAAAATCCAGTACCATGCATACCTTTTCAACAAGGAGCCTAAACACGCTGAAAGATAAGAAGTTAGCAACCAAACAAGCAAGATGGGAAGTATGAAGATCCCAACCAATATCCTTAGATTTGCCACCACCTTTACCGGAATCTTCGCCCATTAATGATACCCAAATCATTGACAGCATTTGTCAATCATAGTCATACCAACCTGGGATATGACAATGAGAGAAGAAGGCAGTGAGAATAGTGTAAAGAAAACTTGGTCAAAACAGTAAGCACAGTTAGAAACAAAAAAGGTTTAAGAGAAACAAACACCAGAGAAAATAGGAGAAGATGCCAAAATAATCCAAAAGATTCAGCATGTTGCAGATATATCAAACAAAAGAGAAATGGGAACAAGCATCAATCATTGAAGTAGTTGTCAATTGCATATTTAAGCACAGAGATATTAAAAAAGGGTCCATTAGAACACAACTTTTAGGGTAACATTACTGTTTTTGCAGTCATGGCCTCATAGTTATGTTTGTTTCGATCGAATCATAGTGGATACATGCATGAGCATGTATTTGCAGGTACTATATAAAACCTAGGAGATAAGAATTTCAAATTCTTTCTTAAATTATTCTCAGAACAAACCAAAAATCATATTCCTATACATCCACTTAAAAGGGAAAGAATGAGCATCAATTGCTGCACAGTGCATAGTTTAAATCACTACAAATTGGTAACATAAAGTTTCCTGAATAAGGAGCAATATGAGAAAAGAAATTTGAACATAAAACTCAGGAATGAAGGAAGAGGTTGTATAGCAAAAGTGGAAGAAATTAAAGCGTTGAAATTAAGAAACTGAATAAGAGAAGGCACGGCAATATTAGGAAACTTGCGTCAAAACATGCTGAGAATCAAAACCTTACTTGGTGACTTCAGATTAGTTAAAGAAGATTTGAAGATTGGGAAGATGGAACAAGATCTTGGACCAGTATAAGTCAGGTTTATTCTGATCACGGTCAAAAGTTTCTTTAATAAGAGGACAATTTGAAAACTCCAATGATCTTAATTTGATCAGGCATTGCATGGCATGCAAAGAGGGTAAATGTTGGAGCTTTGGAAACTTCTTAAGATGAAGTGTTTGCAGAGAAACAAGGCTGCCCAACCATTCAGGTAAACTTTCTAAATACCCATAGTCCATGAGATGTAAACTTTTTAAGAAAGTGAAGCTCTGAAGCTCATCCGGCAGCACCTGAGTTTGCAGTTCATGATGCGACCGATGTAACTAAGATCTCTTATTGTCCAGGAACAAGATAGTAATCCAGACCAGTCAAACAATGCAATTGAATCATCATTTGAGGAAGGACCGATGGACAAATCACGTAAGTTGCAGAGGTGACTGAAACCCCTGGGCATATGCTCATTTTGAGTGAATAATTTCGGGCAGTCATCAAAACGAATAGATGAGAGAGGAGTTTGCTGCAAATCAAGTGGCCATGACACCAAATTCGGACAGTTAAAAACCCAAAAACTATCAAGGGATGTACAACCTTCCAGAGTTTCACTCGGTATATTAGTCAAACCTGTGCAAGAATGAATGTCAAGATTCTTGAGAGAGGAGAGGTGGTAAGCATTGATGATATTTGTGGTGAGGTAGTCCAACCACATCAGAGAAACTCGTCAGTCCATTCAAATAATAAACTGAGAAATACTCCAAAACGCTACCTACTCCACTTGTAAGAATTTTTCGAACCACCATGGCTTCTACATTCCCATAAATCTCCAAGCGACGAAGACTTGGAAATGGAGTGGGAGTGCTAATCAGTTGGCCACAATCATTAATACGCAAACTTTGAAGCTTTGGAAACAAAACAGCATCAACATCAACTGCCACTGCTTCCTTCCATTCAGTCAAATTCCTCATTTCGGTTAATTCAAGAGTTTCTAGGCATGGAAACTTTCCAAGTGCTGAGAGCTGAGTGCAACTATCGCACTGACTCAACTTCAATGTAACCAAGGCGGACAACTTTCCGAACCATTCAGGGAACTGATCACCCAGAAAATTCTCAATCATTAACTCTTCTAAATTTGGGTGAGGTTTGAGGCCTTCCAAAACGTGCTTATCGCGAGTTTCTGTTCCAAGGCGATCCGAACTACTGCCCCAAATAAATTCCAACCTTTTCAGATTTCCCGCTTTCTAGACAAATTTGCTAGTTCTGCTCCTTCTTTACCCTTCACTAATTCAAGATTACGTAATACAAGTTTACCTTTCAGTTCTTTCATGTAACCGAGCTCTTCTATTTGACAACCCTTAACTTCTCCTACGTTAAAGAATAAAAGCTTCTGAAGCCAAATTAGCCGCCCCAACTCCTGCGGCATTTGAAGCTTCTCATCAGAGTTGTAATAGTGGAGATGCCTCAAACTAATCAGACTTTTCATCCCTCGTGCAAGGCCTTGCAGATCATAGTGTAACCTCAGTGTTTGCAAATTATAAAGCTTGCAAAGAGATTCTGGCAATACCATAATCTTAGACCTTGATAGCATAAATGTTTCAGTTTGCTGATAGAGGGCAAGTAGTCCCTCATTTTTCCACTAGATAAGTTCAAAGCACGTAGATTCTCAAACTTCAATAACATCTCATTGGATATGCTATCATTCACAAACAATGTTCGTACCCATTGCGCATTATTTAAGACCTTTTCCCTCCCTTCTTCAAGTGAGTCTAGCACAAGATACCGCCCTTGATTACTACTTCGCCTTACCATATCCTTCTTTGAAACTAGTTCCGCAAGGTCATGAACAAGATAATGCATTCTATACAAGGGTCCCCTGTTATCAAAACTTTCACCCAACAAGGAACTCTGTACTAAAATTCTAAGATAGCTGCAACCTATTTCCTCCATTGTTAATGCTGTTTCTCTAACAACACTCGCTTCATCAAGAAAACCCTCTGCCATCCAAAGTTGGATTAGTTCATCTCCCCTCATTTCTTCATCCTTGTGAAATATTGAAAGATAAGCAAAACATTTCTTGATAGGTGTAAATGGCAAATAATTAAAGCTCAACTTAAGAATTTGTGTAATGCCATTGTCACCTTCATGATCTCCACTAAATTTCAAAATCTTATTTTCCAAAATGGAAGGCCATTCTTTTTTTTCTTGCAACCGCAGTAGACCTCCGATGGCTTTTGCAACTAGAGGTAGACCTTGGCATCTACTCAAAATTTGGTTCCTGAGGGCATTCATTTCATTTGGCATATTTCCACCCTTAGTTGCTTTTTGTGTAAGAATAGACCAACAATCATCATCTTTTAGCTTTTTCAAGAAATAAGGCTCGTGGGTAGACACAATCCTGGCTGTTGTTTGCAAAGGAGTAGTCAATAGACAGCAGCTTCCATTCGTGCTGCTTAGTTCTACCAAGGACATGAAAAATTCTTCCCACAATTCTGGAACCTCATTCCAAACATCATCAAGAACTGAGAGAAACCTTTCTCCACGAAGCTTTGTCCGAATTTGTTGAACTATAGCGTCTTGACTAGACATTTTAACCTCCCCTCCACCCCTCAGTGACTCCAAAATCAATTTGAAAATCTCTGTCACTCTAAATTTTTGAGACACACATATCCAAACTTTTTTAGAAAAGTGACTATTGATTTGCCTATTGTTGTACACCGATTTAGCTAAAGTTGTTTTCCCTAATCCACCCATACCAACAATCGGAAGAACAGCAACAACATTTTCACTAGAGAAGCCCAACAAAATTGCAACAATTTCAAATTCTTCTCCAGATCTACCTGCCATAAACCTTGGAACAAGAGACTTTTTGTGAATTCAGCAGTATTACTGCTAAAAGCAGAAGCAACAGGTAGCAACGTAGTTCTGATAATTAACCCAATTTCCATGGCTTTCAAATTGCAGCTTGTCAACTTTAGGTTGATCCCCTTGATCTTGGAACCCATTCTCCAACGAAAAGAAATATCATGTTTAGATGATGAAAAGGGTAAGCGTACCTTTGCCCACTTGGGTTTGTTCATGGATTTTGCCTTTCGACGAAGAATCTCATAGTTGAGCTCACTGAAAAACATTGTCAGCTTCAAAAGCCACCCTTTCAACCTTCTCTAGCCAAAGTCTCACCATCTCATTTTCAGCTTGCTTAGCCTTAGCATCAACCAAGACAGCTAGGACCACTTGAGCAGATTCTTGTACATTTTCCAGTTCCTTCTCGAATCCAAACACTAACAGGATCCGAGCTGCGGCAGGAGAAATGACCTTCCCCAACAGAACATTTATAGTGGCACTAATAGCAGCATCTGCCATATATCCCTTTTCTTGAGGTATGTGGAGTAACTCAGATCGGATATCAATAACAAAGACCTTTCTGGCTTTCTGGGTAGTGAAGTCTGAAGAGAACTTGAGCATGGAGATGGAAGTAGTCAATGGCCGTCTTGCCCACACTTCTATGAGGTTTCAATGCAGCAGAAATTTTCACTAATCAACTAATCCGTGTGGACCAAACTGATTATGCAGGTCCACAAGTCAACCACGTAGCTTCCACTAGGTAAGCTATAACATACCAAAACTTGAAAACAACTTCTAATGGCGGACTATCCTACATGGGTTGTTTTTGACTAGTTTCTTTTGAAAACAGGGTATCATGAAAAACAGGGTATCATGATCTTTTGTGAAGGCAAAAAAAAAATGCATATGTTTGTTTCCTGCTGTAGCTTCCAATTACACAGCAAAGGCAATAAGCCAATGACACAAGGTACAAGCAGTAACTAATACGGCAGAAATGAAATTGTGGTCCACAAATTACATGTAGATTAGATACAACATAACACATGCAAAGAAAAAAAGAAAATTAAAGTACTCTTCCGAGTAAGCAAAGCTCTTCATCACCAATGAGGGTGGAACACAAGAGTATTTATGACTGTAGCGAACTAAACAAAAGCACCTAGGATTTCAACTTCCAACACCATAAACCACAAACTTTTAAAACTAAATATGAAAGCAAACATTATACTTTGTTCGAGAAATTTGGAGCCGTTTGTTCCAAAAAAAAGTACTCCACATTTGAAAAGGTAGACTCTCCGATTTTTTTTTTTTTCAAAAAAAAAGGGCCACAAGAGTTAGGCAAAATGGGAAACAATCGGAACAAAGATAAAATAGTCTTGTCTCATTGAATCAGACAGAGACCGAAGACTATGCTATGGTTGCAAGTTTTCTCTAGATCAGATTCTCACCTAACATACAAGTTCTAATTTGTTACATTCAATCATTACTTGTACCTAGACAGAGATTGAGGCAAAGATACAAGCAAAAATTTTAAGTTAAGGCATAATAAATGGATAAAAAGTGTTGATTGATAAAGAATGATACACAAATAATACAACAATGGTTATAACTTATAAATGTGTTGTTAACATGACATAAACCTATAATCTATAAAACCTACCTAGAATTTCTTTCTTTCTTGGTTTTCACCAAATCCAAATCGCTAAAGGAATATTTCTCAATGAGGTCAGGAAGAGGTAATTTCAAATTAAAAGTCATCTTTTGGAGGACCAAAGCCAATGTTTGTACATCTGCAAGAGCTCTATGGGCAGACCCGAGTACAGGGATCTCAAAATAACTCCGAAGAGCTTGCAAGTTTACTTTCTGTTCCTTCAACCCTGATAACACACGAAAACCTATGTTACCTAAAGAATTCGCAAACGAAGTAACACATTTTAGGTCAAAGTGTAATATGAACAAATAAACGATATTCTGTTTTTATTTACAAGTCAACTTTAAAGAGGATTGAGTATGGGAGTTCAGTTGGATGGAAAAAGGATTTACCTTGAGATTTCATCATTTCCCTTGCCATTGGAAGGGTGTCCAGAAATAGCCAATCTTGAGGAATCTTGTAAGAATACCGACTAAATTCTTCACACAGGAAGGGAACATCAAATGTGCGAGCATTATGAGCTATCAAAACAACGAATCCATCAGGTTTCTGACGGCTTTTAATGTATTGTAGTAACAAAGGTATCAGGTCTTCCATCCTGACAAAAAATGATGGCAAGAAATTTTTTAACTACTAATACCCAAGGAATAAATCTCAAGCTAAAAAGTCACTTCTTCAACTATTTCATGCTGTATATTATGGAATGGAAACACATCCTACATGCCACAGAAATCCTGAAATGCTATCTACATATCCACGTAAAAGCCCTCAACTAACTGACAATTTTCAATGCTATAAGGCTGGAAGCAGAGCTTCGTAAGGTTCTATGTGGACTGGATTCCTCACAGACATCAGCCTCCCAAAGTCAAAACACACACACACCCTTCAAAAAAAATGGAAAAAAAAAAAAGAAGAATCATTTGGCAGTGATAGATATTCTTTTCCAGAAAAGCATGGGCCTTTCCGAGAGTTTCTTTTCCAATCCAGAATCTAACAAAGATTGCAAGCATCGAGTTATCCTGACATGGAGAAAGGAACATCTCAAGTTCCTGCTGCTGACACATTTCAAAGCTATAAGGCTGGGACGCAGAAGCTTTGTAAATTTCTTTTTATATGGAGAAGTTAGCTAGAACTGATTGTGCAAATGTAACAGAAGAATTCGATCCACGTAAAAGGACAATATGTTGTTAGGAACAGTGGCCCTTAGAACCAATCATGTAAGGAAACAATTCCTTCAGAGAAGATATCGACAACAACTAATCGTTATCCTACTACTTGAACTGGATTCCTCAGACCTAAGCCAGCACAAACAGCAATTGTTTCCAACCCCCTCCCCCAACCCCCCAAAACAATAACAAAGGATCTTACCCGTAACACCCATTCTTTACTAGAAATGCATGTGCCTTTTACAGAGTTTCTTCTCTAATCTAGAATCTAACGAAGATAAAAAGCATGTGCCTTATACAGAGTTTCTTCTCTAATCCAGTTCCTGCTGTTAATTTTGGTTACTGGAGCTGAAGCATTTCCATGAAATTCAAACAAGGCTAAATGTTAAAAATGTTAATTGCCTTTTCATTGTCCGAAGGGATTCTAGACTAGCAATACACAATCCTTCTTTTGAGTGGGCAAATGACCATCAGATCCACAGTACGGCATGATCAAAAACATTATATGAGTGCTTTAAGCCTAAAGTTCAGGGTTGAAGTTACAGGACTTAACACCAAAAAGAGAACAGACTATAAGCTGATTTAGAACCTCTCATCACAGTCATAACATCAGGAAATAATTAACATTAAATAATGTCATACCTTGGTACATCGGCTCTGTTAACCATAGCGGTTGAAATTCCGTGGATTTCAGAATTTCCTATATTGCATTCAGGATTGACCAGAGCCTGGAAAGTGCTATTTCTACCTCCTGCAAGATCCTGGAATGCTATCTCAATAATCCTATCAATCTTTCTGCGAACACCAGTTGTCTCGATATCAAATACAATAAAAGTTACAAGTTTCGCCAGCTCTTTATTTTCAGAAATCTTCTGCCTCAGATCCAAAACCTGGGTCCTTTCTGCCTCAATAATCCTATTATTGTATATGTTTAAGTTGGCGCCTGTTGATTTGGCACTTATTTGACTTTTTATGCTCGTTTTGTTGCTTTGACTGGATTTGTTATTGCCTTCCGTTTTGGTTGTTATGGTTTTTTTGCAAGACCTCCTATAGTGTCCTCCCTCAAGCCCATGGTTATTAGAACCTAGAACCTGGAAGGTAGAAGTGTAAATACCTCTTCCACGTAACTTCGGGAATGCTTCCTGCCAGGAATTAGCTAATGTTTGAATTCTGCATCGCGGGAACTGGAAGAGTGAGAAACACATTGCAACCTTTCTCATCCGAATAACTAGTTACCAGCCAAAAGCAAATCTAAAAGAACCACCAAAAGTGATCGGCAGATATAACCTGCAATAAAGTTGAAGCTTCAGATACCATAACTGTTAAGAAGGGGAAAACAAAAAAAAGGAACTAGATTAATCCTAAGCCTATTATACAAACATCCAGGCAGATGATAACAACAAACAGAACCAGGAAATGATAATTGTCATCACATCATGTTACGTATTATCAGGTTTCACATTTACAAAATCTCAGAAACCATTAATTTTAGTTAATTCAATAAACCAGCAAAGTAAAATATCAGACAATTTGCCCAAAAACGGATATTCACTAACTTGACACTTTTTGCATTCAACATCAATCCAATGCAGAAGGCAACAACGCCAGAAGAATCATAACGAATTGATAAAGTAGCAAAGTTTATACCGTTTAAACATCTCATAATCATTCAATCAAGTTATGGGATTCCCACCAAACGAATCCGACCCAATACCACATAAAATTCAAAAACCACAAATCATGTCATTCGAAATCAAAATTAAATCTTTCCCCCAACCCTGTTCACCATATGAATAACTATCATTGAAAAAAGATATTTCGGAAAGTTGAAGAAGAGATACCTGGCAACTGTTCCAATAGCAAAACCACGTTCACTCATGACCTTCTTCAACACTATAAGTTTGCATATAAACTTAAAAAAAAGAAAATTGAAAATTATAATGAGGAGGTGAAAATGGAGAAATTTAAGGGAGTTATGGATGGAGGAGAGATCCCTGAGGGGTGGAAATTGGAAAATCAAAGGTTTGGAACTCTCAGACTCAGAGAAACTGAGAACAAAGTAAACGTGGAGTGTACTCAATATATGGGTACCGCCCAAAACCCATGATTCCCGGATCATGGTGCCCGGATCCATATATTTAGGACCACCATTTTCTGTTTCCTTTTTTTTTTTTTTTTTATTTCTTTATTTTTGTTTTGTTTTTGTTGTGTCCAAACTTCACAATATTTGGCCATTTCATTTTTTATCTTTATTTTTCTCTTATCTTTCTAAACCATTAATCTTAAATGCAGAGTTTCTTCTAAGCAAACTCCAATTTATCAGTAGACAGTACTCAAAATGCTACTATTAGCTCTGTCAATAACACATGAGCTATGAAGTAATTTGGAAATTCATGAAATGGTGATTTATAAAAGATTCTTCCTGGTCCCAAGGAAAGACTAGTACCAAAAAAAAAAAAAAACAGACTTTGTTTATTGGATGGAGTATGATCACCAAAACACTTCATATTATCATCTTATATGTACATTAAAAAAAAAAAATTCTCTAGATATAGCTTCTATTCGTTTCCCTGAGTCTCATTTTCCTTTACATCTTGTGTTAGAATTTCTTGAAGCCTTCAGAGTCAAATCTGTTGTCCTAATAATGCAGGCAAGATTCGAATTCGATGAAGTTACTCAATGCTGTCTTCCCAATCTTGAACCTGTTCTCGCAGAGTTAACGATGAAAGGAGTCCAGCAGCCGGAGCAGTTAGTATGTCGCCTAACGTACCAACTTGTCCAATTGTTAAAAAGGACCCCTGCCTCAATTCCTCTAATTTGGTACCAACCTGGATATACAAGAAAAAGCAGTTGCTGAGTTCTGAGTCATAGGCTTAGGTTATTAGTAATTAACAGTTGCACTCGATCACGTGAAGTTATTCATCGGATTATTCAGAGGGGCGCAGATCAGATTCCAGTTCAAGGAGTACATAGTGAAGATGTGCAGTGTAGCAAATACGTGGCCTTTCAAAAAACACAAGGAAGCAAACAGACTTCTTCACCGGCCATTTTACCTCAGTAAAAGTCATGCTTTCTCATTTTGAATGTCCAAATGATACAAGAAAATCCATAAAAAAGAAAAAGCAACTTTACCATTTGAAAACGCTATGTTCAAAGATGACAACACAATCTGTGATAAAAGATTCTGAACCAGAGCAAGAAGATTATACTAAAAGCTATATATGAACACAGTAATCTCCTGCCTGCCTTAGAAGAGAAATTAGTCATCATGAACAACTCCATTTTGCATGTTGGTAAAGGTCTCCTTAAAGAAGCCCGTTTTTCTTTTTCAATTTCTCCGGCTCAGTCAGCTCATTACTGAATATTGTGTCAATGAAAGAAGATCTTCATAAGCATAATAATAGATAGATATTACCTGCATAATTGATTTCAAAAGAGGCGCTGCCATCCCCAGATTTGTATTATCCTCAATACCAATGCTCTTTTCTGGCTCATCATTCTTGTAATTGCTACGATCACTTCTTGAAGTAACATCATTTACAGATGTCAATGCAGGTCCCATAACTTTTCCGGTTGAAGACAATGCTGGAGCACTGAATAACAGATATTAACATTAGCAGATTGAGTTGAAATAAGGGCGGAAGGTGGAATAAATGACTCTCTCGGGGAATAAGTTAACAGTCAAATCACCCAGAATAGATATATCACATAGTTCATATCATATGGGTCTAGAGCACAAAGCCTTCCCCACAATCATGATCTCCATATTGTCGCACATCACTTAAGTTGTCTTACACAGAATCATATATTTCAGCATTTCCAGATTTTAGCCTATGCAAATCATTTGCGCCTAACGGCATTGAAACAGGATACTGCTCTAAGGAGAAGGTAGAATACCTTATATGTATATATTTGAACCGAGGCATTGAGTCTGAAAGAGAAGGCAACTTCTGTGCAGAATCTGTGTACAGCCGATTAAGTTGAACAAAGAATTCATAAATAACAGCATGCTTCAAGTAGGACTTCCTAGCATTCTCCCACAAGTAAGGTTCAAACCTGAAATTAGTTCCTTTTCATTAGAAAAGAGTAATACATACATCACCATTGAAAAATCTGAGCAGTATCTTCAATGTAACGAAGAAACCTTCTTCCTACTTCTTGTTGTGAGTGGATTGATGTGTGTGTGTGTGTGTGGGGAGGGGGTGGAAGAGATGACTTATAGAAGTAACATTTTCGTCAGCAAATTTCATTACTACCGCCAACACTGTTACATTTATACTTTGTCATTGTAATCGCTGAGTCAATTGAGCAAATTTTAGATTCGAGAAGCTTACGTGAGCCAATCTATGGGATCCAGTCCTTCAGATAAGCGATTTACCAAGCCATCCAGACCCTCTCTAATGGCTGACTTTGTTTCACGTGTCTCCTGCTTGAATCTAAAAGGAACCTTCTGTTTTGGTACTTTCGAAGGCATCACATTTTCTATCACATCACCTCGAGATAAAACATCACCAAGAAATCTCAAGTCCAATAATATTTGTAAAATTCCCTCATCTGACAGTTTCTCATGCCCTTCAAGGAATTCCTTGTATATGCCAATGACCTGGAGTAACAGTTGAACAAAATCAATGGACAGTGAAGATGGTCAACAATTTCATTAGTAAATCCAAAGTGATGGTGGAAAGTAAAGGGCATATAAAGAAACAACTCAGAAAGTAATTGAGTACAGACCATATTATATATTTTTCTAAAACTATAAGAAAAAAACATATTATATGAGATTCATCAAAATCATCATACAGGAACTGATGAACCACGTAACAAGCATACTCCTTGCACAACAAGAAGAACAAGTAACCCAAAATATCTTTGTTTTAATATGAAAACACTGTTCCTACTGCACCACCGAGTTGAGAAAGTCTATTTTATCTATTTCAATCTGAGACAGCTTACTGAAAGTGTGGATGTTCATGCAGAAACAAAGTGAGAGAAGGAAACCAGAGTTTGTCAAGCATTCAGAATGTCATAAGAGGTTGGTTTGCCGCAATCAAAGACTATCTCCAACTAACTTCAATCTCCGCCTCCCTCCCTGGGATGGTTTTGGTTTTCAAAGCAGGTGTAGCAGCAATCGAAGACCAACTAACTTCAATTTCCGCCCCCATCTCCGGGTTGGTTACCAAAGTAGTTGAACCATAAGGCCATGAATACCCCTCTCCATCACTGAAAAGGAGTCCACTTTTAAACCTTTGTTCCTTTAATACCTTAACTATTATGGTTACTGGTGGTCCATAGGGATCAGTTATCACAACCAACTTTCGTCATGTATTTCAAGTCTTTAATACTTGCCACACATTCTGTGATTAGCTAGGTCTCATAATCATCGTCCAGACAAAACTACTCCAGTAAAGTTGAGTTCACAGTGGAAGGAACAAATCATGGTTAACCTTTTAATAGAGCATAATCGCTAAAACGTTATATACCGATTTCAATTTCATGACACCACAACCGTACATATCCTGGTGCCCTTTATTGGCCAGAGCAGAGCTTTTAGCATCATAATATGGCTGATGTCACTTGAAAAATTACAAGATAGCATTGTTGGGGATAAAAAGAATATTGATTAAAGCATAGGCCCTTAAAATACTGTTACCTAGAAGGGCCAGAAAGCTTCCTCTAAAGTATTTTCACAAACAGTTAATCAGCAAACATAACAGGCGAAAATCTTTCTTTTTTGTTTCTCCTCTTTCATAGGAGGTATCCAAAGAAGATAAAAATTAAAGAAGGCTCTTAAACCAACACTTTTTTAGAACCATAGATATATCAACAATCATCTTTCTATTGAAATTTCAAAGTCACAAAGCTCCAAAAACAATCTAAGACACTCTCTCCTTTTCTTCTTTTTCTATTTTCCCAGCAAGACAGTAATACGATTGCTATCAGTTAGTTTTCAATTTCTACAAAGGACGTAAGGAAAAGAAATGTAGTTGTCTGAGGTCCACGTACTTTGCACATATTAGTGGAAGATTGCGTTTATAATTTCAGACATGAAAGACGTACATATCCTTAAGACTATTAGAAGACCATTTATGTGACAGGCTCTTGTGATAAGGTCTTATAATGCATGAGCATAGCCAGATAAAGACATTGGATTGCACTCAATAGATACTTTAAAAGAACATGCAAAATTACCTTCCCCAACAGTTTTGCCGCTAAACTTTGTAATGTAGCTTTATCGTGGCCACCAGCAATATGAATTTCTTCACAAGCTTTGAATAGAAATGAAGTGACGTATGTAGAAGGCATGCTTGGAAGAGATATTTTTATATTTGATGTGCTTTCACTAGGCTGCTCTTGCTTGATAACAATGTTCTTCCATCCCTGAAAAAAATGAATGCAAGAGATCAGAAGTCTAGAATCTCTCAAACAAAATTGTTACCTGGCATAAGTTATCAAATGTATTCTAGTCTAGTCAGAGTTTCACTGCACCAAAAGTAAACAAAGAATGCAGTATATTACAGAAACAGAGCTAAAGACAAAGATTCTAAAACGTGAAGTCCAGTTAGTGCAATGAAAAATGAAAGCTTCTTGAGCAGACAGAGAGAAAACCACTCAGTGGTGGTTTTTTAGGTCATGGTCTTCAGTCTGATACATAAATGTTTGCCTGGCATAAACTGCGAAATTGTTGCCATCTGGCAATATTTGTGACAAAAAATTATTGAAAGGGTTTGTTTCCTTTTGACAATTGAATCATCATATCAGTGGTCAAAAGGAAAAATTGCCAAAAGCGTAGAAGTGGGTTGACTTCCCTAAACTGAAAAACATCAGCCCGGCTCATCCTTCCGCTAGAGCAAAAGACATACAGCAACAACGGGATACCAATCAACATTGCAAAAAACTACCATTTCAGCTAAAATATGTGTTCCAATTTCCAATGCAGAAGAAAACAAATAACAGTTCCTTAAGAAGGTTCATAACAGAAAGTTTTGCATGGCTATTGGCTTTGTTTCCGAAGAAATCTACCATAGCAGAAGAAAGAGATTACAAATATTCTCTGTAGTAGATATCTTGCAAAACTGATTTGGCCATATAAACTCAGATTCTAAGTAAAAAACCCCCGTTTCTGACTGCATCTCAGAAGAGAGAGAAAACCGTACAGAAAATTTTCAGAAAAATGATTATATGGTGTCATTGTGATGCAACTAATTTAGATTCATTCATCAGAACTGTACACCATTAGAAAAACTTAGCACATTTAATAGCCTATATTTCCTATCCTTAAATGTCCATTCAAATCTAGCCCGAGAAAGCTGCTATCAAAAAGGCATTATACAACAACTTCTGGCAGCAAGATATTATAGTTGAAAAAAATACAAAAGTCTGGACAGAAGCTGAATAATACACAAATGACAAGATGCTAGAATGTCATAGGTTGACCTTTTTTTTGTTTCAATTGCTGTACGTATTAGCTAAATCATCACCACTAATCTTCTCTTGATTTTCTATTTTTGTTTTCCTGAAAATGGATCAAGTATCATGCATTGAATAACTCCATTGACCTATTCATATTTAGCAGAATCAAACTGGTCAAGAAGAGGGGGGGGGGGGGGGGGGAGCCTAAATTGGATTTGCCCCAAGTAAACTCAAACACTCACCAAGCGTTGGATCCATACTGTTATAATCAAATATTGACATTTCAGGAAATCAGAACTCTGAATCAAGAGTAAGATATATCAGCAAAAGGAGAGAGAGAGAGAGAGAGAGAGAATCAAACTATCAATTTAAGTGCACTACTCACTCTCAGGAGTGCAGTTCCTAACAAGGCATCATCTTGCTCTAGATTAGCAGAAAACGTTCTGGCAAGTTCATCAGGGACCCTAAATGTCCATAAATTGTGAGCTCTTAAGCATAGGTCCTGGGTGGTACAAATAAGTTCTTCAAGTTGTGGACTAGGATTATCATCTATCCCAAACAAAACAGATGAGGCAAAAGAAACTTGCCTTCTAGGAGAATCAAACATTTTGGTTTCTAGACTATCATTTATATAGGAATCAAAAGATGATCTAGAATACCTCAAAGCAGCTGGAGAATTGAAAGGGGTATCAGCAACCATTTGATTCATCCACAATCTTGGTGAACCAAGAACAATGGCTATATGCTTAGAGTGCTTCGGGAAAGCAAACATCAGTCGACCAATGAATAGGGACCTCTGAACAATTATGGTAGCCGGCAGTTCAGACTCATGTTTGTCATCCATATTTTGCAGTTCACTGGAAAGTAGGTCTAATTCACTCCTGACATCTCCCACTATGTTTGACATACTTCTGTAACATTTATCCTGTAGATATGGAGCCAAATCCTTTAACCTTACAGAAGCATTTGGAGATTCCAAAAAAAAAATAGGTCCTCAAGAACTCTAGCACAGCCACTGTCTATGGCATCTCTGATTCGGATGACTTCTAACCCAAAATAGCCATTAAAACCGCTGCTGACATCAATCTCTTTGAGATATTCCAATGAACCAACCCTTTTGCAATTTGGCTTGATGAACCAAATCCCACCCGCATCAAGTCTATCCAGGTAACCCTGAAGTGTATTATCAGGTTTTTGTACAATAGTACGAACTGATTGCAAAACATTCACCACTGAGTTCAACTTCTGAAATTCGGTATCAATAATAGCTTTCATTCTGTGAAGGAAAGAATCTTCATATATATCAGCCCAAAGATCACAATCATCACCCAACACAAGCTCGCATATTCCTTTCCAGGGTAATTCAATCTCAGAACCAAACGCACTCTTAAGCCACTCCAAACTGTCCTCCAGCACTTGCTTATTATCCATTGTCTCCCGAATCATCTCTCAGCTGAAGCCAGCTCCTTTCCACTGTCAATCAAATCAATTAAGTACTACCACTGATATTGTTCACAATCTCCTTCCCACATTTCCTTAACCAATCAGAACAAGTTTTTGCGATAAAACCCCGGTCCAACGGAACCATTGTGCCCTCCAGTTTTTCCCTAAATGCAGTCCATAACCTCACTTCCTCATCAGGATTTAGGATTCCCCCAAACAACTGAGAAGCTGATGGGGAATCCAAAATGGTCTTCTAAAACAAAGGTCTGTCATTCAGCACCTGCAAGAATAACTCCCCAACTTGCCCTATGGTCACCTGAATTATCGACAGCACTTGGGAAAACACTGCTGTCACATCATTATTATCAGCATTCACATTCCTTGAACAAGCATTCAATCTCTGCAATATACACAGCTTTCGGGAATCCAAAAACAGATTCAAAACCTGTTCGGGACAAAGCTCATCAATAATCGCCAATGCAGAAAGTGCATCAGCATAAGCATTAATCCCAAGACCCAAAAGAACAGCTTGATCCACTAATCTCTCTCTAGTCCTCTGCGAGATTTGAGCCCTAAAACTCTCCACTATCGGCCACTGATGCTGAAACAAAGGAAACTTCGATAGCACATTATAATTATTGTGATTGTTCACAAGAATATGGTTATCGTATACAAGTTTTGCACGAATATATCTAGCAGAAGACTCATAAACATAAATTCAGCAAAGCAGCCTCAAATATTGTCCGCAGTATCAACAAGATACTTAACCCTGCAAGCAATTCCATAAACCCTGGCCCTACTAGAATTCACATTAGAACGTATTGAATTAGGACAGTCTATGGATGAAGAAGCAAGCCTGTTTCTAATAGAATCATGGATTGCTGACAAATTACCCGAGATGAACTCGCAAGTTGACTTCATCTGAACAACAGAATCTGCTGAATCAATGAGGTCTCTGTACTATTGCTCACAAGCTTCCGTAACTCCTCGCTCTTGTCTTCAATCTCCTTCCCGTGGCTACCTCAACTTTACGGATTTCAGCAATGGGTTTCGTTCGGAACAGCAATTCTGCATCTTGATTCCGGTATCCACCACCACGGCCGCCGCCGCCGCCCGCAGGGGCGGGAACTGAAGCCATTGCCGGCGTTTCAATTCTCAAGATTGAGGTTTTTGATTAAATGGTAAGTAGTTTTGAGATGGGTTTAAGATAATTCTAACTGAGCGATGAGTTGATTGGCCAAACATCTGTCTATCCTACCCTTTTCCTTCTCCTGTAAGATTCTGGAATCAAACTCTCCGATAATTTCTTTTCCCAAATAAACCCCTCTGGCCTTTTTCTTCAATTTCAACCAAAACCCGTCATCATCAAACGCTCTCAATTGAGCGGACGATTAAGGTGGCGGTTGAAGAATTGCAGAAAGAGCAGCACAGAAAAAAAAAAAAAAACACCATTGTTGGAGTTTCTGATTGTTGAGGTTTGTGAGGGTTTCATCTTGGACATGATGCTTCATTTTTTTATTTTTTTAAGTTTCAAATGAGGACACATTTAAACTGCAAAAAAATGGAGGGAAGGCTGAAATAGTCAATTCGTTTACACTTTTTTTTGCCTTTTCTCATTAACTCCATGAGTTTTTTCATCCAATATCCAGCCCTTTTCTCAATAACTCCATGTAAATTGTATCACATTTTCTTAATCTTTTTTCTCCCCCCTTAATGAGGGATAAGCACACTACAAATCTAGCGAGGAATATCTATCGAATATATTTTATTTTTGAACGATAAATAATTTTTATCGATATTATAATGTTCGTCATATAGTAAGCGAAATATTCAAATGACATGCATGAGAAGGAATTCTGATAAGTTGAGTTACAAAAGAATATATGATATGTTGCATCAATGGGAAATGGCTGTAAATCACGTGTTGAATGTATTCAAAAGATTAAAATTTGGACGTGCACATATTTCATATACTTCTATTCAGTGGTGGAATCAGCTCTTGACATTTGGGGGATCGTCGTCCATTAGACTATATTATTTTTTTTATTCCCTAAAAAAATTCAGTGTGAATTATATTTTTAAGACGAAGAGGGTATCTTTTATTTATTTAAATAACTAGTATTTAGCTCGTGCGTTACACAAAAAATACTAGACTGGTGTAAAATGTGTTCAATAGGGAAATGAAGAATTTCTGCTTGTTAAATATTAACAAATATTAATGGAGTCTAACTATTATAAACATGATTAATTTGAAAATTTGGAGAGTTTAATTATTAAGTTTTTTATTAAAAAATTATTAAATAACGGAGGCAGAAGACTCAAAAGTATATGTGAAAATAATAAATAAAAAATCAGAGAAAATATAATCCAAAATAAAACATAAATATCAAATGAAGGAAACTTCATGTGAGAAAATTACCAAACCATTTTCGACGATATTCTCCGGCATCGCGCACAGCTACTCTAAACCCATAGAGAGTTCCTGCATTGAACATATACTTTCCCGAATTAGAATAAAAGAAAATATATGAAAGCAACCAACAGTATTTCAGAATCAAACAGAAATCATACCTGATTATTTTGAGCAGTAGATTAAATAGGGTGAGATTCTCAAATCTCGTAGAAGTTTTAAGATAGTAGTTAGGAAATTGAACTCTATTGGAGTTCTAAAATTTTTTCGAATAATTTTTTCGAATAAAAGTAACATACGAGCCATCCGTTGCCTATTTCGAAAACAAATGATAAATCATTTAAAACATAATGTAAATAATTATTACCCTCCCATTCTAAACATGATCAATCTCTTACTGGATATCATATTGTATTTGTTTCCTAAAAATCATAATAATAATTTTCTATAAATTTTTTTGTTAAGATTCTATCTAACCAGATATTTAGATTTTTTTTCTTTGATGGGCATAATCATTACCTACTGGAGCTTTCCTTATCAGATTAGTTTGATCAAGTGATTTTTTCAAGAGCGACTTGTCTTTAAAAAGTTATTGCAAGAATTTAGAATCAGTGTTATCTTTAATTTGTTGTTAACATCCCCCGTAATCATAAGTCAAATAGTAAAATAATAGTCAGTGTAACCAGTGTTTTTTTTTTCTTAAGAGAACCAAGCGGTTCCTGGCAGGCATCCCCTGATTTTATTGATTAAAAATAAAAAAAAAATACAAAGATTTATGACTTACCATAAAGGAAGAACCATTGTACAAAGATTTTCTATAATCCCCTAACGGTTCTGGTGCAAACTTACGCTAAAAACTGTCTCACAAATATTTTCTAAAATCCCCTACAGTTCTATCTTGAAACCAAAAATTAAATACTCTAAGAGTCTGCTTTACACAGATCCTGCATCAGCCACCGTGTTTATTTCATGATACACGTGTATAGAGATAATTATTCCTCGTGATAATACTCACTATTTCAGTTAAAATATCCGAGTATCTCCAAGGAAAAGATTCCCCTCTATGAATAAGGTCTATAGTGACTTTGCTATCAGTTTGGAGAAGGACATCTCTTAAACCTTTTCTCTCACAATAACGAAGACCTTCGAAGATTCCTGATATTTCGGCATGGAGACTTTAATGATTTGCAATGTATCCCCAAGCCGCCTTAATCAAGTTGCCTTGATCACCTCGAACTATGTAACTCCATCCTGCTTCTCCTGGACTTCCCCTAGCTGAGCCGTTTGTATTTAACATAAAACACCCTGGGTCTAGTGGCTTCTACGAAACAGCCGGTATCAACTTCTTTTTGGCGGAGCAACTCTAACTTGGAAAAGGTTCTCCAATTTTTGTTGCTTTTCATAAGTGCTTGCTTTCAAACAGTGAACGCGCATCATACTTGCAAGATTAGATTTAATTGCAAAAATGATAGAATTAAAAAGAGTGGAAGTACCTTGGAAGATCGATTGATTTCTTGCTTTCCAAATTTCCCATAAAATGAAAACCGGAACTGTCATGATGATTGTCATTTTTACTGAGGAGTAACTTCCCTTTGAAAACCAGATTTTCAAATAAGACCACAAAGATTCCATGGTGGGAAATTTTAGATCCATCTCATCTTCAAAAAATCTCCACACTTGCTTTGCAAAAACACAACGAAAGAAGATGTGATCCAGTGATTCTTCATGATCTTGACAAAAAGAACACTTAGACAGGAACACATATATTCCAAGCTTGCTGATAGCTTCAGGAAGGGGCAAGATGCGATTATAAAGTCTCCAGCAAAATACATAAATTCTGATTGGGATGACTTTATTCCAAAGGAATTGAATCGGATGCGAATTGTTTTGAGTTTCCCGGAAGGCTTCAAATGCTGTTTTGATGGAATAAAAACCCTGTCTTCAATGGTTGCCATATGAAAACATCTTCTACAGCTGATAATTCGTAAAAATCAGAACCTTGAGAAGCTAAAAAATCCAGCTGAGATTCTGTTAAAACACTCGAATTGATCGGCAAAATATTCCCCCGATCTCCAACAAACTCCTTGACTGTAAGATTCGGTAGAGGTGGTCTATGTTGTTGGCTTTCCTCCCTTAAAGCTCCTAGGTCAGACCACCTATCAAACCAGAAAGAAACTAAACCTTGACCTAGTTTGATGTGCGTGCATGCCGATGCTTTCAAATCAATCTTTATAATGCGCTTCCAACTAGTTGTTAGGTTTCTTGCCGAGAAAGACAAATAGCGAATGAATTTAGCCCGTATTCCAGCTTGCGTCTTGAACTTCCACCATAGTTTTGATGAAAAAGTATCTAATACTTCACTGAAAAGCGTCTAATAATTTTGATCAAACATGTCCTATCTTCGATTCCAATTCATACTTTTGCAGCTCTAGAACCGCCAAAGTATATTATCCAATCCCTAGAAGCTTGCTGTCAAAACTTTTTATGGGAGAATCTGAAAATGGTTTTAAGAGACATTGGGCTTGAATCTTATGAATACCTTTGCGAGCTTGTTTTTCTCTCAAAGTAGCATGAAAGTATTCAGTGCTTGCGTCACCTTCTTTGAGCCATTTCAGCCGCATTTTTTGTCTCATAAAATCATCTCTTTCCTGCAATTTTGAAAGAAGTTTAGCCTTAGCCTCCTGTAGATGCATTCGATTCATTGGAGTTCCCGTAGCTTCATAGATTACCTCCTTCTGTTGAACCTCGGTTTCTGCTTCCCTTTGATTCTGGAAGACGTTTCTGAGTGTTGTTTTATTCCAAACCTTTAGATGATTCTTTAATCGATGAAGCTTGAAAGGAAAAGCTTGCATCTTGTACAACCCTGATTCAGCTGTCCAGTTATCTCGCACCACATCACAGAAATTAGACCTTCGAAGCCACATGTTTTGAAACTTGAAAGGTCTTGGCTTCGATTCAATCACCATGCTGAATTCATACAGTATCGGGCTGTGGTCTGACGTTATTCGATTCAAATGATGGACTGTAGATTTTGGCAACAAAGACAACCAAGTTGGAGAAAAAAGGATGCAGTCCAATTTTTTTTGAACTCTGCCATTAACCCGATTTCCCTCCCAAGTGAAAATCGGACTTAATGTCGGAAGCTCCTCCAGGTTACACTCTAGTATATCATTGAAATCATCCATAGAAGATCTTTCCGGTTCTAATTGCCATCATATTCTTCCGTGGTCTGAATGACATTGAAATCTCCCCCAATCATCCAAGTCTTATTTCCATGATTCCCAGAGAAAATGATAAGTTCATCCCAGAGATCTTGTCTACCGGCCCTTGATGATTTTGCATAGATTGCTGTAATACAGACTCTCTCAACCGAATTTGGCAAAGAAACCTCAACATGTAGAGCTTCATCCGATCCACCTAGCAAAACAGGTGAAAACATAGAGGAGCAAAAAAACCAAATTTTGTTTGAACTAAGGTGAAAAGCTATATCAAAATGCAATAAACTTTTAAATTCTTTTATTCTTGCATTTTCTACCATTGGTTCTAGGATGACCAAACATTTTATAGAATGCATGCTTATTAAATTTTTAATCCTAAGTTAAGACGCTTTATTGGCAATACCTCTAATTTTCCAAATTAAAACACTATTCGTTATTAAACGTTTAGAAAGAGGTCACCTTGTAGTCTCACCGACTGGCGAATTTCAGTCGTGTGATGAATTTTTGATGGACCTTTTGGACGCCCTCTTTTCTTCTGTTCATGTTCACCATCAGAGACTGCCCCTCGAGTATAATCATTTTCGTTACCCAAACCTATCTGCAAATCGTCATTGATCAGGCTTTCCAACAAAATCTTTTTCGTAGTTTTTTCAATATGATTAGGAGATTCTGTCGAAATTTCTTCCACACCCTCTGAATTTTTATCATGATCATTCTCTTCGCCCTCCTCAAACTCCAATCCAACTTTTGAATTTTTCTGTAGCTGCTTTATTATCTCGTCGGAATTTGACTCCAATTTCGTTTCTAGTAGTAAGTTCCATGTGTGAGGTATAGCTCCATCGGCTTCTTTATCCCCATCTTCCTCTTGAATATCTGATAGTACCTGAAAATGTGAGCTTGAAACAAATTGAGGAGGCTCCAAGGTTTGCTCTTGGTAAAGAACTAATTGTTTGTTCTTCGCCATCTGACCTTTTTCTTTTTTCTCATCCTCTTTGGGATCTAATGGAATCTCCTGCTGCTTATTGTTTTGTATCACAAAGAATAGTTGATCCTTTGAAAATCTCCACTTTGCAGAGGAGTTCTGACCATTTTGAGGGCTTGAGGCTGCTACATCCGTCGGAATTGTTTCTTTGTCGCTAGCTGCTAAACCTGAAGTGGAAGCCTTTTTATCCTTTGCCGTCGAAACTGGTTTTTCTGGTCTTAGCCCTTTATCCTTTTCCATCGTAACAGGTTGCTCTGATCGGGGTCCTTTCTGCTCCACGCGTTCTTGATTATCGGAGCCCTAGATTTTGGAACTTCTGCAGCTTTCACCACCCGAGGGATAACCTCCACAGCCTTCTTATTCTTGGTGTGATCATCTGTTTCCGATTTCTTCCCTTTGACATGCCTGCAATTTTCTACGGAATGGCCAATTTTTTGACACTCTAAACAATAATTGGGCAAATTTTTATATGTAATTGGCTGAAAGTATGAATGATCTTCTGTTCCAAGCCTTAGGGAGATCTTGTAATAAATCGACTTCAACACACATCCTTGCGATTGAAGGTCGCGACATATTAGACTCGATACATTGATCTTCAAGGGTTTGCCAATAATTCCGACCAGTTTTCTCAAATATTGTTCATTAAATCTATGAATTGGCAAACTCTCGAATGCTACCCAAACTGGAGCTATGGATGATTCATGTTCCGGGTTGAATTCCGGAGTCCATTTAAGCACCCTCATAATATGATGATCAAAAGACCACAAACCTTTAATCCAACATCTTTGAAAATCGTCTTCCTGATCAAAATAGATCAAAACATGCCTATGATCCAACATTCCTAATGAGAATTCACCCTTAAAACCTACCCGTTGGAACTGATGCCAAAAATAATCCATCGCCAGCCTTCCCTTTGAGAATTCACCGATGAGCGCCAATTAGAAAGGCTCAGCGAGTTTATCATCGTCTTCCTTTGTCAACAAAAAAGCTGGTTCTCCCTTGTATATGGTAGGATTGGAATGAATTACAGTGTCATCTTTGATCAGCCTTCCGAAACTTTGTTGCAGCTTCCTTGGATTAGGCTTTGTGCCATTCAAAATTTGAGCGAATGTTAGATTTTTGGCTTGGGAATCATCCGGCGGCTTGTTGGCTGCCATAGCTCTAGGGTTTTCGGACAAGGATACTAGAGAGAAGCGAGAGAAAGAAATCTAGAGAGAGAGAGTAAGAAAAATTATTGGGTACAGTTGTTGTATCATGGTTTTTAGTACAGCAAGTACTAGCACCCTCCCTATTTTGGTGGTATAACTCCGTATAGCAGCTGCACAATCCTACGTGGTACAGCAACTGCACTGAATAATTTCTCAGAGAGTAATCGGCTTATATTGTTTGCAAACAAAGATTTAAACATTAGTGTAACCAGTGTTATCTTTTAATCTCAAGTCAACTAGTAAAATTGTTATTAAATAACGGTAAAATCTAATTTTTTTAGAACTAATTTAATTGAGCTTCTAATTTTATGCCAAATAAACATTTTCCATCCTTTATTAATATGTATAGATTAATAATTTTTTGAAAGATGAACTAATATTCATGTTGTGGGATATATTACATGCATTAACAAGCCTAGAATTCAAATCATTTGATAACAAAAAAAGTAAATGGTAAAATTGGATTGGAGATAATCTCTAATTTACTTTTTTAAAAAATCATATTTGATCCCTAAACAATAAAAAAAAAAAAAAAGGAATTGTTGAATGAAGTTGGAATGTTTTAAGCGAAGACCAACCTAAAGAATGAAAAGAAGAATATTGGTCATTTATGTAATAAAGTATGGGTAGAAGAGACAAAGGTAACAACATATAATAAAAGGAGTAAATTAAGCAAGAAATCAATATAAAATTAGTGGAAGATCTTAATTAGGGCAGTAGTAGAACGATTTGATAAAATTTCTCCATGATTATGAAATAATTACAGAGTATTTATCAGTTTTCTTGTTTAATTCAAATAAGAAATAAATAAAATAACTGCACAAATTAATTAGCATGGTCACAAATGCAAAAGGCTTTGGATTTTGGATCGATTTGTATTTTCTGAAAAGTATAGTAGGGAGAAACTACTTAGAAAATTCCAATTGGAACGATTTAAGTTGATACAGGGTGAATATGACATTCTAAACTGCAATGACAAAATAATCAACATCTAAAACGATGAAATCATAACAAAATAATAACTCTTCTCCCTCAATCTCGGTGAACTGGCCACCTACCTCAAGCTCCCTCAGACCCAAAACCATCGGGGGCCTAAGATTGAAAGGCATAGCCACGAAGGGCTCCGACCAGAAGTCTCCTATGTGCTTCTCCACCGTGGACGGGGGAGGAGAGGGGGAGGTTGAGATCCCTAAGCCCCAATCTGATTCTGCCCAGGCTTATATTTAATTTGGATGAATATTTATAGATATAAACAAAAAAGACACCTTTAATTGATCGATGATACATCAAATTGTGTATAGATTAAAGTACAACATTGCAAAAACAATAATGTTATGTGGTAAAAATGTCAGTATTAGGGTGTCATTCTCCTATTACTTAAGTTTGGGAGGACTTGTATAAAGTATAAAGATCAATTTGGTAGTTTTTTAAAGTTTAAAGTATTAATACAATTAATGAAAAAAGAAGTAAATTCGAACTTACCCTTTTTTCTCTCAATTCTCAATGCAAACCCTACTTTCAAACCTTCATTGTCGCGCGGCTATGGCCGACAATCTTAAGGGGGCTGCCTCCACAGGCCAACCACCAATGTTTGCAAGCTTTTTCCAAAAGCCTACCTCTTCAAAGATAGCAAGATCAAAGCAAAATAAAACCGATAAAATATGTTAATGGTGAACCAATGTTGGAGTTTGAACTAATTGCTCCACATTTGCTAAGTTTGGTTAGGAAGTTCGCCTATGGACGGCCCAAAATGGAATATTTATGAGCCGAGTTTAAGAAAATTGGATTCGATGGCGGCTATGATCTCGGTTTAATGAGTCCCGGCCACATTTTGATTCGATCTGAGCAAGAGGATGATTACTAACGATGCTGGATGCTTACGTTCTGAAATATCTCGGGCTACTCGATGCGAATAATCAAATGGAAACCAGGATTTGTACTCAAAGAGGATCCACCTATCGCTCCGATATGGGTATCCGTTCATGAATTACCCATTGAATATTCAAATGTGGAGGTTCTATTTTCAATAGCTATAGCATTCAAAAAACCCCTCCGAGTTGACACACCAATGTTGAATCTCACCAGGCCATCGATGGCTCTTTTTTGTGTTGAAGTTGATCTAACTGCAGAATTCCCCAAATCAATCAAAGTAGGCAAAAAAGGAAAAATCATGAGCAATTATTCACCTATGAATATGTTCCAAAATATTGTTTGAAATGCAGCAAAATAAGGGACAAAAAGGAGGATTGTTGTCAAGGGAAAAAATTTCAAAACTCTCTGATCATAGGTGATAAGGCTAAGTTCAAGGATGAATTGATTGCTCAGAAATCAAAAGGAAAAGCTTTAACTACAAAGCCGATATGGCAGCCAAAACTGATGACGGAGACGGTGCAAATTCAAGCTGTTATAGATTTAAATAACAAGGCTTCAACATCAGGGTTGTCAAACAAAGAAAAAGAACAAATTCACGTTGATGTTGCAGATCATTCTCTGATTCAAAAGCTAGTTAAGGAAAAGAATCAAATAGAAGACGGGAGCAATGGAGGCTCGCTTATGAATGACAGTATAGATGGAAAACAGACTAATCAGCACGGTGAATTGATCTCGATCACAACAAAGAACAATTTCGACAAGCATGGGGAAGAAAATAATAATACTGAAGATAATGAAAACTCCGCAGACGAAGCTGAGGAGGTCTTCATGGAAAATGTTAGGGAAGTAATCTCTAAGGGTTTAATTGAGCAGATGAACAAAAAAAATACTTGTAATGACAAAGAGCCATCATCTACATTGAAAACTCCAGGCTCTAGTAAGTTATCGAAAGAGCAAATTGCCCAACTTATAGCTAAAACCTCGAATGATTTAGTGTAGCTTGAGATGCTTAAGAATAAAGAGATTGATTCTTTTTTGGACATCCATATACAGACAAATTTGAATGATGCTGGTCTATTGTCAGAATCAAATGATGAAAGTCAATTAGAAGAAGCTGACAGGAGGAATTTCTAAGGATGTTTCAAAAGATGATGGTAAACTTGGCTTGGAATCAAATAAAGACATAACAAAATTACCAATAAGATCATCATCCGATGGTGAGCAGAAAAAGAAAAAAACAGGACGACCAAGGGGTTTAAAAAAAAAATTCTTGAAGATCCCAAAACTCGTCGATCGACGAGGCTTCTAGGTACATAATTCTTTCCTTTTCAATTTCCATCATGAATAATTTTCTTATATGGAACATATGTGGATTTGCAAATAAAGTATTACGGATGTAAGATATTATAACCCTAGTTACGGTATAGAGTTACCTAATTACGAACTTGTATAGTATATATCGAGATGTTTGTACACAACTCTAGTAAGAAGATATACAATATTTCTCTTTTACGGTTGAGGTTCATGCCAGCCGCCAACATATCTTCTTCCTCTTTACATGGTATCATCGAGCAGGTTGTCAATTTTTTCATAATCGAAACTTCTTTTAAGAGGCTAGTTCGAATTTGAATTTTTATGTGGGATTGCTTTGGTAAAGATATCTCATTTGTATTTTTTCTCTCAAATATATATAACTCTGCTCACAAATGGCTATGATTAAACACAACAGATTATATTGGTCAAAGAATTTATGTGATAAGAATCAGAAAAGAATTAATCTATTCAATCTTTACATGACTTACACGTTTATAGTGGAAAATTTATATCTCGATTTCTGAAGAATAAAAGAATCAATTACCTCTTCTACAAAGTTTAGGCACCCATTATCAAAAAATTTAGAGAAATTTTTAATGACATTATAAAATTAATAACAATGGAATCATGATTATGTATTTTATTATCGGTAACCCCATCCGAGATAAGTAAACCTACAAACAGCTGAAGTTTTTGTTTAAATTGTTTTTTTGAACAAATTGAGTGTAATATTTCTTTTTTTATTTTTTTGGTTCTATCATAGAGAAGATAATAATGGTGCAAAGGCATTGATTTGGTGTATGGTGTGTTGACCTCATCTCTTGATAGTACTTATGTCAATGCTTCCCAAGTTGCGCAGCTGGTGGAGCAGCATTGTGAGGGTAGAACAATTTTTTGTCATTGGCTGTGGATCTCGGGCAGCAAAACAGTCTTTTCATCACCCGGTGGATAGATATAAATATGTCTGCAGTATTCCTAAAACTACTAAGATTGTGAGAAGGTCTATCTGTTTTGGTGCATCTAACAGGCCTGGATGCGGGGCCTTCTAGCTGTTCGATATGTTGGCCAACGACCTTTTGATGACTTCTTTCTACATGGTGAAACAACAAACATTCAGACTTAACCGTTATCTTTACTACTTGCTAAACCCTGTTGCTTATAATCGCCATTGGGACCCAAGGTCAGGGACTAGGGTTACAGAAGTTTGGAATGAAGCATAATGTTAATGACTCAAGTTTGGACTAGAGAGATAGCTGAAGTTAATGCAGCATAATGTTGATGACTGAAGTTTGGACTAGAGAGATTGCTGAAAAACCCCGAGTATTAGATTCCGAATGTGGATTTCTAAATATTTTTTAGTTATAGTTTTTGTTTATTTCATCTTAATGTTATTTCTTAAGTTTGAGGGAAATATTTTGGCAGTCTAATTTGGTTAATATTGCTTCCTGAATTTGAGGGAGATATTTTGTTTAATGTGGTTGAAGACTATTCAACTAGTAGCCTGTCTTCTTAAATCTTTGCAGTTTGTAGTCTATTCAAATCTCAAATAATAATTATATCATTTGATGGCTTTTGTAGAATTAAAAAGAGAAAAAATTCTAAATGAGTTATTACAAAGGTACAACATACTTAAATTACTAACTTTTACAAGATTATTCAAAGAATGTTTACCATATTGCTCCTAGTAAAAGGAAGAATTATAAAATTTCTCACACCATCATCTCCAGATGTTTGATTTTTAGAAAATAACTCATGTAAATAACAATACATTACGTGTATTACCTTCTGGAACGTGAAAAAACCTTTCCATATTTACATACAACCTTTTTTAGGAGACTTCAATCCTTGTACATCAATTTTTTCCCTCAAAACTAGCTATTGGAAATTGTTTGGTGTGATTTTCAACCACATGGCATAGTTTTGCAATTTCAGATTGGAAAGCAACACCTTTCATGGTTTCCCCAAAGGTCCTTCAACTTGGTAAATTTGTCTCAGCCTTGATTTTGGGTGCTAGCTTGACAGCTAGAAATCCTCATCAGCTTTGACAAAATCTCTTCCGACAAATCCTCTCGATGTAAGATGCGAGGTTCTGATCCGTATACCCCCTGGACCCATGGCAGACGAGTCTTTTGGAATATTATTCTTATTGGCCACAATGTGCACTGATTCCAAGACATTTTTAACCCTTAAACCATCAGTGCACTTCTTCCACAAATTGATTAAAATAAGATGGTTATCCGTTCCACCGGATACAAGTTCATATCCAATAGCTAAAAGAGTCTCTGTAAAAGAGTCTCCATAAATTAAATATAATATTAATATTACTCCGCTCACGAATGACTTTGACCAAACACAATAGATGCGATTGTCAAAGGATTTATGTGATAACAATCAGGGTAGAATTAATCTATTCAATAAATGGGCTATTTTGCTTGCTTGTTAACAAGCATTGCCCATGTCAAAAGCACATAAGAAATTTTACCTGCGAAAAGTTTTTTTGAGGGATACCCCTTGAGAATGTACCTTTTAATAAAAAATTTTCAATATTCTCCTGTAAACTTTTTATACATTCGAGGCACATTATGTTCCAATCCAAACAAATGTAGTATTATTGTTGACATTCAAAACCATGCAACACAGAAAAAAAAAAAAAAAAGAAGAACGAAATTGATCAACATATAATTTTTTTTGTGATATTTATTTAGTTTAGTGTTATTCTTCTTTTGCTTCCTTAATGTCCACAAGATTTCAATTATGGCTAATAATAATTTTTCACAAGGGATTATGCATGGAAGTATTAGTAATGGATTGATCATGCCTAATTTGTGATTAAATTGAAATTTTATCCATATATTAGTTAAAAAATTATGGCCACATCCGTTTCTAATTAGTGAGCATGTGACCCCCACTCTCTCTCTCTCTCTCTCTCTCTCTCTCTCTCTCTCTCTCTCGTGTAATATCCAAACTAGGGGCTGGAAGGTTAGTTATGTGAAATTTCTCGCTAAATACTAACAATAGTGAATTAATCTGTAATATCCTTAGATTTTGACGTGTGGGGTTAATATTAGTATGTACTATTTATATTGGAGTCAAAGAATTACGCCTTGATTTATTAGAATATTGGAGCATAAGATGCAATCAAATTTTAATTAAACTACTAAAGAGAGAAAAATCTTAATGTGACACAAAGAAAATAGTACTTAATTACAAGAAACGGATGAGATCAAGTACTAAATAAATGACTTGTGTTTGAGTGATTGAAAATAAATAATAAAATGTAATACCAAAAACAAAACAGTAGAATGTCCTAAAATCACACCGGTAGCTTTCTTGATCATGGTAATTTATTATACGTGTTTATGCATAAGAAGAGTTTGAGGACAAAATAGGATTCTTGTCTTCATTAAGAGAATGAATAAAAAGATGTAGGAAATATATTAATTAATTAATTCCACTTACCATCGCCTTTATTTTGTGGCTTGTTATTACATTTTAAAATAGAAGTTACATGGTCAACTTCTACCACTTTCATTCAATACCACCGCCTCTTATCCATTTTTACATAGAACTTAGAACCAAAGCTTAGTTTAGTTATCTTTCTGAGATGTGCTTGCACCGCCTAAATTTTATGTGTCGTCCCAAAGCTTAAAAACAAAATAACAAAGTTTTGTTAAATAAAGGTTTACTAGAAACACTAGGGTCCTAGGTACTAGTTAGCGCTTCATGAATTCATTAATTTTGTGAAATCAACTGAACCAAAAATGAACAAACAACTAGTGCTTAAAAAGATCAAATACACGTGAACACCTTAATTTAAGTCTATGGGGTTTTAAGACCTTGACTAGAACAACCCGAAATCCTTAAGGCAATAATATTTTATTGGCACATAGTTAAACATTAAGATAGAAGCAAGAGGTGTCTTCTTTTTGACTTCCTAGGCAATTCATCCAAAACCATGCATGGAAGCCAAGCTAATTAAATTGGAAACAAAATGGAATTGATAAAGATGATGTAGTTTCTGGCTAGTTTGTGCACCATTCACCGCCTCACACAATTAAGCTTTTTTCTTTTGTAGATCGATCAAAGCTTAAAACAAAAATAAAAGAGAGCGGTCAAAAACCACCAACTTAGAAACATAGAAACAAAGTTTTTGTAACCTCTACAAACCTTATCCACCGCCCGATTTCTTTCTTGTTTTATAAAGTATAAGTTAAGAGTTTCATTAGCCAACTTTCCCTTCTTTCTTCATTACTCTGTACTCCCACACTTGTATGAAACTGAATCTACCATGTTCTTCCCCACTGGTTTCTTGCAAATTTGATCAAAGAGAAAGAACCCATATCTATATATATAAACTCTCTTCGTCTAAACCGGTACGTAGTAGTAGCTGAAGTCCCAGCCATGGAAGAAGTTCCCGAGGGAGTGAAACCGTAAGAAAGGATAATTAGAGAATAAGAATATCGAGAGAGAGAAACGATAGGTGAGAACCAAAGGAGAGGAAAGGAGAGCTCCGAAGTTTGATTTCGACGTTGCCGTAAGCTACAGTCATGCACGAAGGTAACTAGTGTTTCTTTCACTTGATTCGTGAATTTGTTCCCTTACTGAGTTATATGGAAACAAACTACCGTTGGTATAAAAAGCAACATAGTTTAGATATTAATTTTAGTAGAAATTGTAGTTGTTTA